CGGGAGCGCCGCCGCGCTTCCCAAGCGGCACACTTATCCAGTGCGCCACCGGGCCGGCCCCTACAATCCCATTTTTAAAATGCTTACTATTATCTGACTCTTCCACATCACTAAACTAGTTTTCATCTTTGCTTAAGTAATAGTTTCAAGCCAATAATGAAATAAAAGGTCTCAACCAAGAAATATAGCATATTACTGTAAAACATTACTAGAAAATATTTCTGCTCATTGCTTTTACAATTTTCCTATTATGGAATATAAAATTTTCCACAGGTGTGTTCTTCATAGTAAAAATAATAATAACACCAAAAAATAGCTGACATTTATTGACAACTAGCATATGCCTTTACTGCTCTAAGTGCTTTTCATGGATTATCTCATTTAATCCTAATAATAACCCTTTGAGTTAGATCCAGTTCATGCTCCCATTTTTAGATGAGGAAAATAAGGTACAAAGTGGTCAAGTAACCTGCCCAAGGGTGACATGGCTAGAAAGCAGCAGTCTGGATAATTATTTACAAGAAAGCCCACACACGTCCCTCAAAAGTGTCTCTTGGTACAAAGACACTGACTTCTTATTCAAAAGGGGCACTTTCCCTTTGATGAATTCAAAGAATACTTGTTGATATGTTTCTGAGATAAAGCTCACAAAAAATCGTTTCCACATTGCTAACTGCAGATCCCAATCTTGTCTCGTTTTCAAGTAATCACTCTATAAACAGATGAACCTAAATTTGAAAATCAAGAAAAGAGTAAAAAAATGGGCACGGAAGAATTCCTGGAGCCGTTCTCCTCTTAGCTTTTCTACATCCATCGATGTCACCCCCAATCAACTGTTCACTTACTCACTTCTCTTAGGCTGTAAGAAATATGGGCTCTGGGGCCAGCCCGGGGCTCAGTCAGGAGAGTGCGGTGCTGATAACACCAAGGCCATGGGTTTGGATCCCATATAGGGATGGCGTTAGCTCACTTGGTAGAGCGTGGTGCTGACAACACCAAGTCAAGGGTTAAGGGGATCTTACTGGTCATCTTAAAAAAAAAAAAAAAAAAAGAAATATGGGCTCCCCTCCGCCATCAAGACTTAAAACAAAAACACCTAAATTTTGTAAAATTCAGGAATTGGCTATACCATCATGTCAAGGCTAATGACTATGCTCATTAACAGATGTTCCCTTCGAGGTGACAGTGGGGATCAGACAGAACGGTCACAGAGGGGTGCGGAGAGTCCACGCTGACACGACAGCCCTTTGCACTCTCCCACGTTCCGCTGCAACTCGTGATCCTCAGGCAAAGGTGTCACCCTAGCCCCGCGTATCATCACGACACCTCCTTCCAGGTGCACCAAGTTGTAAAAGTTACAGCAGGAAAACAGCTTCAGGAGACAAAAGGGAAAACACCAATCTCCAAAGAAAGCCAAAGGGAGGGGAGAGAAAGGGTCTGTGGTGGGCTTTCTTGGCAAAAGAAAAAAAAAAAAGCTGGAAGCCATCGCAGAGACCACTTAGGAACTTTATCAGACAGGGAAACTGAGGCTGCCATCAAAGGACAAAGGGAACCAACCGGTCTCCCACAGGCACGCATGAGGAGCTTTAGAGGCGAGCTCCACCGTGGCAAGAGGGCAAACCAAGCTTTCCCACGCACCCAGCGCCACCGGCTTCCCGCTGGGTCCCGGGTGCCCGCCCCCACTCACAGGAGCCCGGTTCCTGCTACCCAGCCCTCTCAGAGCTCCCGGGTGCTCGCCCCCAGCCCTCCCAGGAACTCACATGTCCACTCCCCGCCCCCGTGTATGCTCCCCGGCCAGGTGTCAGGAGCCCCGAGGCGCTTTGGCCCCCCCCGCGGGATCCCCAGCTG